TTCAATGAATAGCAATAAATAAAAGTTGAAGTGTTCGACGAGAAAAACTTTATGATAAAGATGAATAAAGGATTTGATTTTCTCGATCAAAATATTTCTACAATAAATGATTTGATGATAAATAAGATGTAAGATGAATGTAATTTTTGCCAAAAAAAATATTTCACTTAAATGCTCTAAAAATCTTTCTAATGAATGGAAATAGTGAATATATTTATAGAGTTCAATGAACAAAAATATCTGATGAATTGTATAGTAAAGCGACGTCCGCTTACTTATCCGGACATACAAAAAATAGCAATTGTACACCAGACGTCAAAATGGTAAAAAAATTGAACATTACATGATCTAGTCTTTTCGGATCATTCGGGCGTTCTTCTCTTTGTCCGACATCTGCATTTTTCAAGAGTTTGATCCATTTTGTCTTTGCATGGTCCAATGTGAATCTTCTTAAAATATGATCTAAGTTCACTTGTGTTTTTGAAAATCAAATTTTGCTTTTAAAGAGAAATGATTTATGCAAGCGATGATCAAAAGTCATTTTTAGTACATAAGATGGTTTTTGAGCTTTCATCGTTTAGTGCTAAGAATTGACATGTTTATGCCTTTACAAGTGAATATGAAAATCTAATCACTATCCTCCTTTGATACTTGACTACTGAAACTCTTTATTTCGAATGCTTTATCTTAAATGCTCGAGTTTCATCACTTTCTTCATTATAATTTCAATTTGTAGTTTGAATGTCTTGATATCGACTTTTTCATCCTTGGTTGATCAATATTATATAGGATGCTTTGAAGGCTTAAAAGTCAATTGTTAGAGATAAAAATCAATATGATTGTTATGATCAAAACATTAATGATAAAGTCAACCATAACGGTTAGGACCCTTCACCCCCATGAAGTAAGGACGTGAAGCACACCATCGCTATTGTTAATAGAGATAGAACAGACAACCTAGAGGTTAGAACTTTTTTTAATAAGTACATATAGTCATTTTCATGGCATATGTTCTTCTTCTCCTTTTGATTTTCATGTCAAAACAGTCATGGGAAATAAAGTCCTGCCCTCAATCTTTACAGGTCTTTTATTGTCGAAACAACCATTAATTTGGAGGAGATGTGGAATGAAAATTAGGAACACATCAAGAAAGAAGTAGCAAGAGATGAAAATTTATGAACTACTTTATTCCTATTTCAAAAAGAAAAAAAAAAAATTTATAGACTATTTTACATCTATTACTGAAAACAAAATAATACAAGCCACAGTCAAAATCACACAAAAGGCTACTGCATTAGAAAAGAACGGAATCGTCAGGTGCTAAGCTAGTGATGAAGCTAGCACTCGATAAGCAAAGGCGATCGCCTGTGTAGACTCCGCAGAAATTTTTTATTTTGGGCAAATAGCTAGTCACCGGTGAGAGATTTGTCAAATAGCCTTTAGAAAAAGGGGACATGTTGGCATGGCCCTTTTTGAGTCCATTTTAAAAACTAGGCTCAAACAGCCTGTCTAGTGTATCTATTTCTCAAACAGGGCCCAAAACTAATCCTCATTTCTCTTCATCCCTCCCATTTCTCTCTCTATTTTCTTTCTACATGACCATTTCCAAATCATTTAAGCTTTCTCCTGTTCTACCCACCACTTGCTGCCCCAGCCAACCGTAAACCGCCTTCAAGCTTCAGCTCACCGTCGTCATTTGAGTCTCCAATGGTCCCTCCGCCTTGATACCATCGATGTCGAGCGATTGCAAGCCTTCTGTCTCTCTCTCTTTCGTTTTTTAGTCCATTTTATATTGTTTTCTTTTAGAACTTGAAGTGATATTTTATATATACTGATTGGTGATTTAGTATTATGATTTGTGAACAGTGATGAATGATGATTTGATTAAAAATTATAATTTGTCATTTTTGAAATTTTTGTGGATATATATTTACTAAATTGCAATAATGCTTTTTATTTGTTTACTTCTTGGTGGTGTCTTTTTGGCTTTGTGTTATAACTTATATAGTTTTCTAAAATGAATTTGTTTTTTTTTTCAAAAATTTATGTTCAATTTTCATGTAGATTATGGAACTATTTTCAACCTAAATGAAAGGCCCAGCTTGGTTCTTCTAGTGGTGCATTTAATCCTGTCTATGCTTCAAGTCGAGTACACGAGTTGTTATCCATTGATAACACAAAGAATTCTCAAACTCAATTCAATATAGGCAATCTTGTTTCTAATCCAGGAAAACATCCCCCTATTGAGTAATATGATCCTAATATTAGAGATGATGTTAAGATGACATATTTAGCCCCCGTTTGGCCCGCATTAATTTTTATTATATTACATTACATTACATTTTTTTTCTCTTATTTTCAATCACATAATCTTTCATAAAATAATATTACAAAATAATCGAAATTTTTTTATTCTTTTTCAACCACTCATTTTTCAAAAAAATAATATTCCACCTATTTTCAACTCTACAAAATGGGGGTCAAACAGGGGCTTAGAGAAAGGTCTTTGTCAACTACATGAGATGGCTTTCCAAGAAAATCGATAGGAAATAATAGTGTTTGAGGAAATAATGGTTTTATTTTTATTGGTCAGATACTTAGATTACAATTTAGAAAATGATGTGACGTATTGTTTATATTGCTACTTGTTTAAACTTGATAGAGGGGGTAAAGAGGAGGATATGCATTCACTAAGACTAACTTTAGGGATTGGAAGCACACAAAGACTTCGAAAGATCATGAAGGTCTCTTTGATACTTGATAATACTCACAATCAAGTTTTTACCAAGTGCACCAACGTAACGAATCAAAAGCAAAGTATCTTCTTTGCTTTTTCTAGCTAAAGTATTAACCAACAAAAATGTTATAGGATGAGGTCGAACGCAGTGCTAAATGGATGATACTACACGTACATCAAACTAGACATAAAGGTTCACATAATTCCATGTAGCATTCTATCATTGGATAGTTTAAAACACAATCATCTCTTTCATCCAATCACATCTTGTCATGTCTTTCTGGCACTGCTTCTTGATGGTTTCTTTTAGCAAAGTACTTTAATCCGTGCTAAATAGTACTAGATTTCTCTTGATGCAAGAAAAGAATGGAATCGTCAGGTCTAAGCCAGTGATGAAGCTAGCACTCGATAAGCAAAGGCGATCGCCTATGTAGACTCCGCAGAAAATTTTTATTTTGGGCAAACCGCTGGTCACGGGTGAGAGATTTGTCAGATAGCCATTAAAAAAAAGGGGACATGCTGGCATGGCCCTTTTTGAGTCCCTTTTAAAAACTAGGCTCAAACAGCCTATCTGGTGTATCTATTTCTCAAACAGGGCGCAAAACCAATTCTCATTTCTCTTCTTCCCTCCCATTTCTCTCTCTGTTTTCTTTCTACGTGACCATTTCCAAATCATTTCAGCTTTCTCCCTTCCAACCCACCATTTACGGCCAGGGCCGGTCCTGGGCACAGGCGAATGAGGCCTGTGCCTCAGGCCTAAAACCAAAAAGGGCCTATTCTGGCCCAATAAAGTTTTTTTTTTTAATATTAAAAGAAGGAAAAGGAAAAGGAAAAGGAAAATAGTTTTTTTCATTAATTGTGAGATGATTGAGATATTTGTTTGTTGTTTTAATCTTAAATTTTAAGTTAACAATATGTTGCACAATATATCGTTGAATTTTGTATTTAAGTTAATTTTTGGGGCCTAATTTTTTGGACTTCGCCTCGAGCTCCGACAATCACATGACTGACATTGCTTACGGCCCCAGCCAACCATGAACCACCTTCAAGGTTCAGCTCACCGTCATCATCCAAGTCTCCAACGGTCCCTTCGCCTTGATACCATTGACGTCAAGCGATTACGAGCCTTCTCTTCTCTCTCTCTCTCTCTCTCTCGTTTTTTAGTCCATTTTTAAGGTGATATTTTATATACGGATTGGTGATTTAGTATTGTGATTTGTGAATATATGAATGATGATTTTATTAAAAATTATAATTTGTCATTTGTGATAATTTGTGGATATATATTTACTAAATTGCAATAATGCTTTTTATTTGTTTACTTCTTGTTGGTGTATTGGTGGTTTTGTGTTAACTTATATAGTCTTTTAAAATGAAGTTTCTTTTCTAAAATTTACATTTAATTTTCATATAAATTATGGAACAATTTTCAATATAAACAAAAGTCCCAACCTGATTCTTCTAGTGGTGCATTTAGTCTTGTCTATGCTTTTAGTTGAGTACACGAGTTTTTAGCCATTGATAACACAAAGAATTCTCAACCTCAATTTAATGTAGGTGATCTTGTTTCTGATCCGGGAAAACATCCCTCTATCGAGTAATATGATCCTAATATTAGAGATGATGTTAGGATGACATACCTAGAGAAAGGTCTTTGTTAACTACATGGATATGACTTTTCAAGAAGATCGATGAAAAATAATAATGTGTTTTAGGAAATAATGGTTTTATTAATTTTATTGGTTAGATACTCAGATTACAATTTAGAAAATGATGTGACTAATTATTTGTATTGCTACTCGTTTAAACTTGATAGGGGGTAAAGGTGCGGACATGCATTCACTAAGACTGGTTTCAGGGATTGGAAACACAAAAAGACTTTGAAAGATCATGTCTCTCTTTGATACTTGATGATACTCACAATCAAGCTTTCACTAAGTGCACTAGCTTAATGAATCAAAAGCAAAGTATCATCTTTGCTTTTTCTAGCAAAAGTAGTAACCAACAAAAAATGTTATAGAATGAGGTCGAACACAGTGCTAAATGGATCATACTACATGTACACCATACTAGACATAACGGTTCACATAATTTCATGTGGCATTCTATCATTGGATAATTTAACATACAATCATTTCTTCCATTCAATCACCTCCTGCTACATACCTTTCTGGCACTGCTTCTTGATGGTTTCTTCTAGCAAAGTACATTAATCCGTGCTAAATAGTATTAGAGTTCTCTTGATGCAAGGAAAAACTTTCCGTGGTCATAATGAATCAAAAGAGTCACTTAATAGAGGAAATCTAATTTAGCAGCTAAGCTAAAACCAGACAACAATTACAAGAATTCTTGTTCATTTTTATTTATCCTTATACCTTGACTTGTTCAACCAGGATCCATCACTTTGTATTTCAAATAAACATCTTGAAATTCATCACAAACATTTTACAATATTAATTATAGTAAATGCTAAAACCAAATTTAGAATCAAGATTTAGCTTGTTTTTCAGCCTTCCTTCGAGCCCTTCTCTCTCTAGAGCTCATAGACGACTTGAATCCTCCATTCATGGATTCTTCTCTCTCCTCTAAATCTCTAAACGATTTCTGATACACATACAATTTTATTAATAGAATCCTCTAATACGTACCTTATTTTCAAATTAATAGACAAGATACGGAACCCTCCATTGGATTTAGAGGCCTAAAAATCTGGTTTTAGCAAAAAGGAAAAAATAAGTCAATGGGGTTTACCTCTCGGATCTCATTAAAGCTGACAGCATAGAAAGTAAGAGCAGCAACTGCAACAATTCCCAGTATGGGAAGACCCATTTGCTGAATTCCATCCATGGATTAAAAAATCAACACTTTCAGTGAATTTTATTGTTTGTTTAGTTTTGTATGACAGATAATAGTGTGCGGTATTGGATAGCGTGCAGTTTGGTGGCGAGAATCCTGACCTCAAGGATTAATGTGTGTCGGATAATTTGATGTCCAGTCCTTGATATCAATATGGAGTAATTTCATTGGTGGTCATTGAATTTAAAGCAATATTTCAATTGTATAACTAAGCCCCTACTTTACAACCATGATTTTCGAAACTTTTTTTTTACATATTCATTTTCAATTATTGAGTCATACAATAAAATATTTTGCACGTAAATTTAAAATTTTTTCTTATTTTTTAACCACATATTTTTCTAAAAATCACTATTCAAAACTCTTTTTATTCCAATAATGGTTATCATACAGTGATCAAATTTTAATGTGTCTCAATGAGGTCAGTGAATTGAAATTTAATTTCAAATTTACCACACTATTATGTTATTGTAATTGATCTTCGATGGAATCACTATATGAACCCTAGAAACAAAAATAGTAATACAAGGGTTATCGTCTTTTGATTTAAATATTACAATGCGTGTTTTTTTAACACTTATTATTCAACATTTGATAAAATGAAATGAGACGCAGCAATTACATGGAAGATCCATGACTGTATAAATGTTAATTAAATAATTTTCATCAAATTGAAATACAAGATGTGATAAAGTTAAAAAAAGTTAAGAGAATCAATTTTAAAATGAAATTGAAGTTCAATAATCCAACTTAAATGAATGAAAATTTAATGATATATATATATATATATATATATATATATATATATATATATATATATATATATATATATATCATTAAAAGTTCAGTGACCATAGAAATAAAATTTACCCCAATGTTATATCAAATATAGGGTAATAATTGTTGTAAAATATGAGATAATTATTGATTGCTGTAAATGGTAAGTTATTAGTGATTGAAAATTGTATCTCTGTAGCCCTAGAAATTATTACTATTTTATCCTTGATTCTTCCTTATAAATATAGGGCTTTGGTTCCTAAAAAACACATACAAACCTATTGACTTTTATTCTCTATTTTTATAGTATGTTATCAACATGATAGCTTTATTCAACATTCAGTATTCTTTTGGAAGAAAATAAAAGGCGATACTATTTCATTGTGTTCCAAAACAAACTCCAGTTTCAATTTATCTTTGCATTATAAACTCGATCAAAGGTAATAATTTGTTTTATATATATACACATCATGATCACGTTAATTTAGATGCCTCATAGTGGCCCAAACTTTGTTTAAGTTTGTATTGTTTGTGGCCATCTCCCTTCGACCAACATGCAATTTGATTTGACAATTCATAATTGTGTGTAATGATTTATGTATGAAACAAGCTAGATGAACAATCCACTTAACAATTTGGGTTACAATCATTGAGTTGGCACAAATTCCTACCACATATTTCAAAAACTGTTTTTTCAATCAATGGTGTGGATCCCTACACCTCACCAGTTGTCAACCAAGTTTCATATAATAATTCTTTATGTATTGGGTTTTGTAATTGTGTGATAATTTCTATACTGGTTTCTATCGTACGCACACAATTCTCGTTTTAATTTTTGTTTAATGTTTTGTACACGCAATCTATTTCTATAATTGCACTTTGGTAATTACGCATATCTTTACTCAACTTCCATGGTTTATTCATGAATTTAGTACACATGTATGTATCTATTATAAATAATTTGTTGTTATTCCTGAAGTAGCACAACATTATGATTAATATTTTTGAAGAATATAATTTACTCCTAAATAGCACGAGCTTTATATTTTTTAATATTCTAGAAGAATGTTATTTGCTCTTGAAGAGCATAAATTATATTTTTCAATATTCCAGAAGAATATTGATTTATTGCTCTTGAAGAAACAATAATAAAATATAATGTGCTCTTAAAATAGTACATATCCCGAATAATATATATACAATATGTTAGGGTCCGTTTGATTGCAAAAATGGAATTAAATTGAATTGAAAACAAATTTCAGGGAATTGAATTGCCTAGAAATTATTTTCTTGGAAATTGAAAATTATTGTGTTTGATTGGTATAATTTTTTACATGGAAAATGTTGAAATAAAAGTATTTTTTGGTGCTCGTTTGGCTTTGTTTTACATGAAAATTATCAATTAAAAGGATGAATTTTACAGGTTTCGGAGATGAAATTTGTTTCCATTGCCAGAAAAAAAATATTCAAGAAAATCATCTATTTTTTGGTGTTCGTTTAGCTTTGTTTTACATGAAAAATTCCAATTAAATGAAAATATTTTTTTATAATAATTCTTAAAATTTGTTTTAAAAAAAAAAAAGCTACAGTGCCTGGAAAACGAATTCTCACCAATATGGTGAGAATTCGAATTCAAGAAAAAGGTGGAAAATACTGACATGGCGACCAAAGGTGGAAAACGAATTCCTTGAAAATTTTTGTCAATCAAACATGTCAAAAGTGGAATTTGAAATTGGTTTTCCATTTTCCATGGAAAATTTGGGTCTATCAAACGGACCCTTATTGAAAAACACAAATTAAACAACTCAATACTAAGCTGTAATTTTTAAGGGAAACTAATTATCTATACTATTAATATTCAAGAAGAATATTAATTTATCGCTCTTGAAGAACATGAATTATAATTTTCAATAGTCCAAAAAATGTTGACATAATGCTCTTAAATAAGTAATAATTAAAGATAATTGCTCTCCAAGTAGCGTATTTATGAAGAATATATCATTTTAAATTCATGATTATCCCTAAAGAAAACATATAACAACATAATGAGGACATTTATTAATTTGACTATTTGAATGATATATAATTATATAAGCTTTAATCGTATTCTTCGAAATTAAATCATCGAATTATATATTATTTGAACCAGAAGTTCAATTTGACTTTATTATTTGACATGATAAGTTGGATCATCACTAAATTAATGACGATGCGAAATTAAAAATTCAAATGGATATTCAATAAAGAACCAAAAAATTCTTCAATTCAATCTTATATAATATTTGTTCTCTTTCATGAAAAATTTTCATTAACCATCACTAGTTAAAATAGGGACTAAATTCCCTATATTTTTTAAAATTATCTGTTATATTGAAAGTTGAGATATTTCAATAAATTATGTCATTATGAGAAAAGAAATAGAATCAAAAAGAAAAATTGTCAACAACAATTTTGCACATAATGTACTACATCATATAGCAAGAATCAAAACAAATGCATCGAAATATATTGATCAAAATAATGATTGACCAAATAAAATGGACGTATGTGGTATAATCACCTTAGCGAATATTTGTTGAAGAAATGCTATAAAAATGTCGATGTTTGCCCATGTATTTTCATAAAGATAACAAATATTGAATTTGCAATTGTGGCTATTTATGTTGATAATTTAAATTTATGTGAAACTCTTGAAGAGCTCAACAAAACTTCTGATTATTTAAAAAATGAATTTGAGATGAAGGATTTAGGAAAAATCAAATTTTGTTTTGAGTTGCAGATTGAACATTTCTGAAAAAGATTATTTGTTCATCAATACAAAAAAAGTCTTAAAACGTTTTTACAAGAACAATGCACATCCATTGGCATCATCTATGGATATTTGATCACTTGATGTGAAAAAATATCAATTTCATCCACTTGAAGATGGAAAAAGATTCTTAGTCCTAAAGTATCATATTTTAGTGCCATTGAAACGTTAACTTATCTTACAAATTGAACTCAACCCAATATAGTATTTATTTATTTATTTATAAATATCCTTGCAAGATTTAGTTTTATACCAACTTAAAGACATCGGATTGATGTTAAACATATTTTTCCATTATTTTAAAGGTATTATTGATTTGAGATTATTTTATTCTCAAAAGTCAAGATCGGTTTTAGTGGGATATGCAGATACAAATTATCTTTCTAACCACCCACATAAAGTTAAATCACAAACAGGATAAGTATTTATATGTGAAGGAACAAATTTATCATGGAGATTTGTGAAGTAATCATTGACAGCAACATCCTCAGATCATTATGAAATTATTGCAATCATGAAGCAGGTCAAAAATGTGTATGGTTGAGAAACATAACCCATCATATTCAAGTATCATGTGGGTTAACTTCAATAACAGGTAGTCCAACAATCTTGTATGAAGACAATGCAACATGTACTGTACAACTCAAATGAGGCTATATTAAAGATGACATGACGAACCATGTTTCTCCAAAATTCTTTTATATTCATGAGCTGCAAAAGAATGATAACATCGATATCCAACAAATTCTCTCAAGTGATAATAAGGCCGATTTATTCACAAAAGTATTATCGACATCTACATTCAAAAATTTGGTTCGTGAAATTGAAATGCGTTGACTCAAAAATTTTTAGAGATTAACATCATGGGAGTAGTTGTACCCTTTTTCTTTCGCTTAGGTTTTAACTCACTGAGTTTTCCTAACAAGATTTTAATGAGACAGTATCGGAAACCCGTATTTGATTCAATCAAATTGGATTTTATCATTTCTGTATCGGCAATTCAATATAGATGGATATATACCCCATATATATGTCTCTCTTCCTGCCACTTTTCCCATTCGCGGCATGTCAAGCCCTGGTAAGGTTCTTCGCTTTGCATCGAATTAAACCACATGCTCCACCGCTTGTGCGGGCCCCCGTCAATTCCTTTGAGTTTCATTCTTGCGAACGTACTCTCCAGGCGGGATACTTAACGCGTTAGCTACAGCACTGCACGGGTCGATACGCACAGCGCCTAGTATCCATCGTTTACGGCTAGGACTACTGGGGTATCTAATCCCATTCGCTCCCCTAGCTTTCGTCTCTCAGTGTCAGTGTCGGCCCGGCAGAGTGCTTTTGCCGTTGGTGTTCTTTCCGATCTCTACGCATTTCACTGCTCCACCGGAAATTCCCTCTGCCCCTACCGTACTCCAGCTTGGTAGTCTGGTAAATCAAAAGGTAATCTCTCACACTCGGCTAGAGAAGAAATTAGAAAAACGATAAACCCTATAGGTTGACGCCACAAATTCCACCCCCAAAAACCATATTTTGACTGCGCTTCAACTATATCAACTGTACTTGAACTGTTAGATAATCATAGTCGATGATAAC